GGTGTTGGCAGGCACAATGGTGCCCACGAGTATCCCGTTAGGGACCCCTGCAGTGGGAGACTGAAACGGCCTGGAGAATGCTTGGCACAGGTAAGCTTCTCCTATGAAGGAGGGACCGTGAACGTGTGCCTGAGGACGGGCCACAGCAGTAAGATCTCCTAAGCCTGCCTAGTTATCAGCACGTGCAACCCGAGGAATTGGTTGGCTGAGATGCCCCATCCCAGACGCCAGTTTGAGACGCCAGTTTGGTGTAATGGTTAAGTGTGTGGACTCTAATCTGGGAGAGTTGGGTTTGATTCCCCACTCCTCCACTTGGACCTGGCTGGATGACCTTGGGCAAACCGTAGTTCTGATAAGAACTATTCCTGAAAAAAGAGCAGTTTCTGTCACAGCTCTCTCAGCCCCACTGACCTCACAGGGTGTCTGTTGTGGGGAGGGGAAGGGAAAGGAGCTTGTAAGCCGCTCTGAGACACCTTTGGGTAGTGAAGGGCAGGGTATAAACCCAATCTCCTTCCTTCTTCTCCTCCTTGATTCCCCACACTCCTCCACTTGCACCTGCTGGATGACCTTGAGCAAGCCGTAGTTCTGGCACAGCTGTCCTTGAAAAAGAGCAGTTTCTGTCAGAGCGCTCTCAGCCCCGCCTACCTCACAGGGTGTCTGTTGTGGGGAGGGGAAGGGAAAGGAGTTTGTAAGGCGCTCTGAGACACCTTTGGGTAGTGAAGGGTGGGGTATAAATCCAATCTCTTCTCTTCTCTTCTTCTTCTTCATCCCACCAGGGTCATTCACACACATTTCATTACCGGTTTAACCTGAGAACAAGCCAATGCGCATAATGTTGGGATAAAGGGGATACTACCTGCTGTTGCTCCTCAGGACCTACCTGGGCTTTCAGGATGCTGGTGGTCCAGTCCCACAGTTCGGATGGCCCTGTGCATGCTAAATACCTGCAGGAGAGAGACTGTGCGTCACTGCCAGTGGGCCATTGCTCTCTCTGGCTCCATAGTGCATGCAAAGAACTCGGGGGACCTTTCCCCAGAGAAAAGATGGGCAAGAACATGATGAGCCTTGCCGGATCAGGCCAAAGGTTCTCTGGAGTCAGTGTTCCAGTTCCAAGGGCGGGCAGCCGGATTCTTCTGGAAATTCACCAGGAAGGCATGGCCGCCTACCCCAGTGGCTGGTCTCTTGCAGTGGGGACTGAGCAGTCCCTTCCCGGTGCAACTTCCCTTTCGCTTCTACAGCCGGTGTCCATGGTTCGGCCACAATTTAGGACCACAGCCCTTCTTCTGAAAATATCAGGGGAAAGCTCGTCCCTGCCAGTAGGCAGGATTTTCACTAGTCACACAAAAACAGTTTCCAAAAGGAGACGAGGGACAGAATATCAGGCCAGGACTTGGGCACCCTGAGTTCAGGTTCCCCCTCTGCCATAAGGTGGATGGGGCGGCCTGGCACTTTCTCTGAACCTCACCTACCTCACAGGGCTTTTGTGTAGAGGATAAAATGGAGACACATTTGCAGTGCCCGGCAGTCTTTGAAGGAAGGGCAGGGCAAAACCTGTGGCATAAATAGGAGAAGCAGCAGAGCTTTGGCCAGGCCCTGGCTGCTCCCCTCTCAAGAGCCAGTTTGGTGTAGTGGTTAAGTGTGCGGACTCTAATCTGGGAGAACCGGGTTCGATTCCCCACTCCTCCACTTGCACCTGCTGATGTGACCTTGGGTCAGTCACAAGCTCTGGCACAGCTGTCCTTGAAAAAGAGCAGTTTGTGTCAGAGCTCTCTCAGCCCCACCTCAGCAGGGTGTCTGTTGTGGGGAGGGGAAGGGAAAGGAGTTTGTAAGCCGCTCTGAGACTCCAAGTGAAGGGCGGGGTATAAATCCAATCTCTTCTTCTCTTTTTCTTCAATGCCTCATGTGCAAAAGTGGAAACAAAGCCAGAGCTTTTCCTCACTGACCCCAATAGTCAAGTATGTTGTTAACCAGGAAGGGGGCCGCACATTTCCAGCTGTGCCATGGGCAATGCTCCCTCTAAGCTATGGAGTCTTGTGAGCAAAACCTCCACCTTGTGAGCTACTGGCACTAAAGTTGTGAACGAGCGATTTGGCTGCTGCGTAAATTAGTTTGCTCTGGAGCCATCCTTCCCGAGCTAAGGCAAAAATGCATGAGCTGTAAGCTAAAAAAACTGTGAGCTAGCTCACACTAACTCAGCTTAGAGGGAACACCGGCCATGGGGCAAAGCACAGGAGACGAGCCAGCCCTTTGCGGCAGGCGTCTTCCCCCCTCTGTGTGAGGGAGGCTGAGTGGGATGGCGGGCTTGAGGAAGGAGCATAACGGATACTCACAGCTGCTGCTTTTCTAGGATCAGAGTGAAACCCCACCTGCAAAAGAGACAGAGGAAGACCGGGATCAAGGACAGCCATGAGCCG